AGGCCATTCCTATTAGGTTGGAGGCCATTCCTATTAGGTTGTCACATGTTGTCACTCTGAAGAGTTTCACAGTGTCTCAGGAAGGCCTTGGAGGTGACCAAGGCTCAGATCAAGTCCCACAACCGCCACTCGTCGATGTCGGCATGGGCGTAAGAACGCGGTGTCAGGTGAGGTTGGTTGGAATGGCGACTTGGGGGATTTGGGGGGATGCTTCGTGAAGGTGTTCTTTGCGCAAAGTTGGTGAACTTTGAGTGGTGGTTAAGTTTGATTGGGAAGTTGGTGAGAGGCCATGTTCCTAGTGGTGCTCATAACCACCCTGCAAGTGGGGTTTCGATCAAGCCTCACTCTTCAATGGTTGGCAGGATGCCAAAGAAGTTTTTTTGGAGTGCCCAGAACAACCGAAAAGGAAGAGGTGACCCGAACAAGACAGAGCATATGTAACATATGTACATACAAAACAGCGGACCAGACGAATCGGACCGATGGACCGCACCATCCTCGCTTCCGCGCGTCCTCAGGTCGGGTGGCAGGGACGGTCATCATGGCCATGTTGGCATTCGTGATCTTGCTTTGTGGCGTGGCCTTCTTCTTCGGACGATGCTCGACTGAAATGAGGTGAACTTTACTCTTGCAAGTGTTCAATCCAAGTCTTGAGCCCATATCGGATAGATGGCAAATTGGAGGGTCTAGAAGCGTTGCAGATTGACGTACATAGTTGAAAATGTTGAAACATTTGGAAGCAGATTTCACAAGAACTCAAGGGCCCAGAGACGTTGTGCTTCGTTTCATTGCGCACCATCAAGGTTTGCACGGTGACGAAAAAATTGGATCCGTTTTATAAGGGAAGGGTGGGGTGGAGGTGGAGGCCATCGCTACTTGTATCCCTTCCCATGCGCTTCATTTGAGAAAAAGAAACGAAAGGAGACATTCATCGAAGCTGAGGAGTAGCAGTGGCTCAAGGCATCCAAAATGCCTTACGGGGGCCACAGCTCACTGTGAAGCAGACCACCTTGTCCTTCAGGAGAACTGGGACAGACCGCACTCAGCTGTCGGGGATGGGTGCACACCGCTGGAGACGGTGAGACTGCTGGAGACGGTGAGACCTCCCAACGAAACCACGACAACCCTCTTGGGTTTGTTAGACCCTTACCAGCTTTACCAGCTATAGAAGGTAGGCCTCATTTGGCACGTTGCCTAGTTGCAAACCGTGGGTTCCCCGATACTCCACAAACCTTGTCAGTCAACCTGTCTATGACCTATGGAATCACAGTGTCCTCGAGGAAGGCATCAAACTCCTGAATTAGTCTTTAAGGTGGTGCCACCCAGAGGCTGTGGATTGGCACAGAGGATTTGTTCACCCTCCTTTGCACCTCCGCACTTCTTCGGCCCGAAGGAAGGCCAAAGAGTCGGCGAAGGACCTGGTGGTGGGTGCAGGCAGGGTTGGAGACTACGTAGTCATCCAGCATTTTGAGGGCTCTCTAGTAACAAGTGCCACGCTAGTAGTAACAAGTGCCTTACTAGTAGTAACAAAAAGCTAATAGAATTAAGTTTAATTTTACGTTATAACTTAAAAATAATAGCTTCTTGTTACTACTAGTAAGGCACCTGTTACTAGTAGCGTGGCACTTGTTTCCAATAGCTTCTTGTTTGAATATAGTTGAGTTGTACCCCAAGGAAGTTATGGTTATAGGTTCCATGTTAGGCCAACCATGTCGTGCCCTACCTTCACGAATTTGCTGGCCTCAGCCCTCAGCACTCAAAGACTTCAACTTCTCGTTGGTCGAGGAATGGCTGATGAATTTCATGGAGTCACAAACCTTCTTCAAGTGTCCAGGGTAGACAGTAAATTGTCCACCTCCACCTGGATTTGGGCATGCTCCCTATAGGGTCATACACGTGCGCCACAGGCTGCATTTGCCATGTTTCTGCACAGTCAGAAACTGGGTTGTACTTGGTCATGAAACGGTCATATTCTCACGAGGCTGTATGTTGTCATGAGAACTAATTGTTGCTGGTCCCAAACGGTTTGCAGTTCGAACGCTTGGGTGACTCACCCGATAGTCTATGCACATTGTTGGAAGCTAAAGGCAAGGAGACGTCCACCGTGTCCACCACAGATGCCCCACATCCGCCTTCCGAGGCAATGCCACAGCCAGCACTGTGGCCAGCGCCAGCCGCTCGACGGCGGGCGCCGCGCGCCACGCACGACACGGGCTGCGGCAGCTTCGGGAGGGCGCCCGACAGAGTGCGCAAGAGCTGGCAGAGGCCGTGAGGAGTCCAGACTGGCGACAGGCGGATGGGGAGAGGAATGGAGACGAACGATGGAGATGAGATATATGAGGTTGGGGGATGCTGGGAGATGATTGCGTTTTGGCCGCTAAAGGATGGGTGGTTTCAAGCATTTTGGCAGTTTCGGGCGGTAGTGCAGGAGGTTCTAGCAGGTCGAGAGCAGGCAAGGAGGTGGAAGATCGAAGAATGGTTCGTTTTCATCGCCAGAAGTTTCCTCTTGGATCTTATTCATGTCTTATCAAATGCATGGAGTTGCTGGGCAGAATGCGCGAATCCTGGAGTTGTCCAATTTCCCGAACCTGGCACTCTGAGTTTCTTCCGGTCATCCATGGCTACCTGAAACTGGGGGTTGGAGAATGATAACGTTTGAGTCATCGGCCAGGTGCTTTGGAAGATCATGCTCTTGCCAGGAGCTGCCATGAAAACATTTACTGTGTTTGTTGAATCCGAGTTATCGAAACTTGTCATCCTGACTTGGGTTCGTTTTGGATGACATCGCAAACATAGTGCCATATGGCCATATGGTTCCCAATCTATATGTTGTTTTAATTTGGATATATTTGGTATATTTTGGTATAAGGGATCACAACATCGATACCTTTTAAATTTGCATCCCCTAGTGGAAGTGAGCTTTGGTCATCTTAAAAGAACTTTGTAAACCTCAAAATCCAACACGACACAGAGCCATTTTGCCTGATCTTGCCATCGCCCATTCTTGCCTCAGTCGTTTGCAGGACGTTTGGCCATCCAAGGTGCGCTTGGCTCGTACGTTCGCCAGACTCCGATGGTTCGTTCCGGAACGATCAGTGTATTTGAAAGATATCAGAAGATCTTGACATACAAGAAGTCAGATGGGTGACTCTTTCAGCCACACTTGAATGGTGATTCAGCCCTAAATACTGGTCAGACAAAGATATTGGCCCACTAGGGCCCACGTGGTGATTCCTAAAGATGTGCAAGCCCAAGCTTCGGAATAGAGCATGGCAGCATGTCCAAATAAGCTCCTGCATTGAATGTCCAATTAACATCGTGTCCTTTTTATTCCATGCGGAGAACGTGAACTCTCCAAATCAGACCTGCCTATATGAAACTCAGCTCTTTCATCCGGCGGTCCTCAGGTTTACGCGCCTTGTACCAGCAACTCCAAGAAGCGCTTATGTCCTTGCAACTGGTCTGGAGCTTTACTTCTTCTCTTTCAATGGGCAAGTTTTTCTTCAGCATCAAAACATGGAAGGTATAATATAGTGATTTATGGGATCCAAAACTGACCAAGGCGTACTGGTTTCAGCGCCTTGAACTTTCGGGAAGGGGTGGATCAACACACGACAAGTACAAGCCAGGGTGATTATCATTCCAAAGGGGGACGACGGGGGACGGCTTTTTTTTCAGTTCGCTGATTTGATTCACAGCAGAAGCTAAAGTGGTTGTCTTGAGTTCTTCGTACCAAGCCCCTACGGTTGGGGGGCACCCTTTCAATCACTCAGGTTGTTGCTCACCCACCAGACCCTGCGGACCCAGTTGTTTCAGTATTGAGAAAAACACTCACGATGTTTCCAGATGAGTGGGCTCAAACCACGGATCAAGGCACCACCATTTCGCTTTGGGACTCCATGCGGTACAGGGTGCTGCACATCGTTGTTGGCGCCACCTCAGGAGCGGCTGACCAAAAGAAGATTGCAAGAAGATTGAAAAAGACAACTGATCAAATCAATACGCACACATAATATAAGTACAGACCTTGAACAGCATCAATATGGTGCTAGGCAGTGCTAAAGGTCTTCGTTTTTGGCCCTGCAAAGTGCAGGATCCGCCGACTACGAGAGGGCGATACAGACAAGACTGTGAAGCAAAGTGTGGAGGACAAGCCCAAGTTTCGATGGCCGTGGCAAAAGCCGGAGGAGTTGAAGAAGGAGGTGGCTTGGAAGGTGGAGGATGGTGGAGGTACGTATTTTAACCATGACATATAGATCGCCAAATTGAATCATTTCCTGAGCGGTTGTCTAGCCTTGAATTACTTTGGGAGGGCTTTCCCGAGTCTTCAAAACAGGAAGCGGGGGCAAGGGTCAAAACACGACATTCTTTGAGGAAGTGACAAGGTGAGCTATTGCCATGGCATTCTCCATTTGTCATACAAGAGGTTTATGTTATCCAGTTCAATTGGTGTTCTTGTATTTTTGTTCCAGCGAAATCCTTTTCCAGTCAAGTTTTTTCGCTTATATGCCAGCTGGTATTGCCTTTAGAGGGCCTTTTCTGTGAAAGCTTGGTTTGGTGAATGACTTTCACGACGTATGCTGCTCACTGAGGCGGATCCCTGGTGGAAGCGACTCTTGCCAAAGAAAGAGCGGGATGAGAAAAAGCTCAAAACCAGCTTTGAGGGAGTGGATCTGAGCGGGTGATTTTCTCCGGGGTTTCTGAAGATTGCCTCTCTTGACTCTTCATTTCAAGGTGTACTAGGGCATCGCTACTAGGAGCAAGGGCATCGCTACTAGGGGCTCCTGGCATCGCTACTAGGTACTTTTGTCCCTTTGAGACCGGTCAGGTGGAGCGAACCAAGCGGACCTTGGAGGTGCAGAACATCGGTGTGGATCGGTGGATCGGACCACAACCGACAAGGACGCAAAGGAGTGTAGACATCGCTATGCCGCAAAGCATTTGCTTTCTTTTTTCCCTGACTGTTGAAGATGCTCCAAACAGACGTGCACCGGTCTCAGAAACTCTCTCAGAGCGAAAGGGAGCGTGCGCGGTGGGAACACTTGTTTTCAAGTCGCATCGCATCTTCGCTCATCTTCGCTTCTCCCGAGCCATCCCTGCTCCTTCTTGGCGTGGACTGCCAGGTGAACTTCCCAAAGGTCACGGTTCACGAAGAGGAGGGAAAGCACTGAAAACGCGATGTGGTGTGATGGTGTGTGGAGGTGTCAATGGGCTTAGGGGATCTTAGGGGTTTGTTAAATCCCAGAGTGGCGGATTCTTGTCCGAGATGTGCGGAAGATGCCAGGTAGCGGTTATATAGATCCCCAGGTAGATAGAAAAGTAGATCCGCACTAAACATGTATTGGAAACCGTGCCACTATCTGTTCGGGGACCACTATAGAGTCTTCGCCATTCGCAATGTTAAGCTTTGCCCTTGAAGAATCACACGAAATCGGAAGGATACTATAGCGGCTACACTCCGGGATAGTGCAACGTGTGGACTCAATCATCCAGTGCATTCGTACGCGGAAACCCAGCATGTTCGATTCATGTCAATGATTAAGGTGCTCTATCTTATTAAAGTACCATAAAGTACCTATTGCATACTTGGATTCATTCAGGGCGTAGAATCGCAACGAAAGCAAGCCCAGCTGCAGTGCCAGAACGTGACAGGAGACCCCGCTGGGCGGGTCTTTGCGAGGTGCTGGTGGGCTTTCTTGCTTTGATTGGCATTGGACAATAGTGAACGATGCCGTTGCTCAGGGTTCCTTTGCTACTAGGAGCAAAGGGCATCGCTACTAGGAGCAAGGACGCTACTAGTAGCTCCTGGCCTTACTATTAGGAGCAAGAAGCTACTAGGAGCAAGAAGCAATTAGGTTGGAGGCCACCATAATTCTTATTCCGCAAGGTCGCTCTCGGCTACTGGCTGACTCGGCAAGAGACACTGAGCAACTTGGATCCCAGCGAAACGAGGGGTGTTTTGCCTCAAGGTGGAACTCGGTGTATTGGGCTGACATTTGTGCAAAGCAATTTCAATCTATCCAAGACGGAGACCCATTCTTCAATGACATCGGAGAAAAGAACGAAAAGAGAGAACAATAGAAACCTAATAGCGATGGCCTCCATCTTACTAGCGATGGCCTCCAACCTAGAAGCGGTGGCCTCCAACCTAGTAGCGATGGCCTGCAAGCCTCCAACCTAGTGGCGATGGCCTCCATCCTACTAGGCAATCATAAGATCAACTGTTGTGGGCATGCTTACAATCTTCCTGCTGAGGGCTGCGAAGGTTCTCCCCCCCGCTTCGACACACCCAAGGCACTTGCGGATGGCGCTTACCCGCAGCTTGAACGCTTTCAATAGCAGCAGTTTGCTGGTGGTGCACGAGGCAGTGTGAAGGGTTTGTTTGAACAAGTTATTTGAAGAGGTGTATTTGACATATGTACACATAAATACACACATAGTTATTGTATAATATTGTTTATATAGTTTATATATTTATATATGTGCATATGTATAGTAATAGTATTGATTGATAATAAAGCGTTTAGATGTAGACAGTTATCGAATTGAGTGCTAAGTGTTCAGGGCCGCAAACATAACGTGGAAGTGGTGGACCATGCACCAGTCAAACACACAAACACACACAGGGAAGTTGTCGATCAATTGCTGCCACTCAAGTTGATCTGGATCCACAACACGCGTGAATCGTTTCGGCCAACTGTGTCGCCAATCTGTCCAAGTAGCCTGAAAGGATTTTTCTTTTCCAGATGATAGACCATCCTGATTGGGGACACAACAAATCATGCAGTGAGAAATTGATCCTCGATCCCGCAGACACACAAGTGAGCTGTCAGCGCGCCAGGGCACACTCTTCTCTCCGGATTTCCTTCAATTCTTCAGTCAGCTAGAGTTAGTCATGGAGGAGGTTGGGATGAGACCGAGGAAAGTTGAAAGCGTGTGAAAACGAAAAAGCAGACAACGGCAAAGCAAAAGGCAAAGCAGTCTCCTGCATTAACACTGATATGGCTGTTCCTGGTTGTGACTCTGGCTCCATTCTGTCGATTCAAGAGCCCAGCTGACCTTTGCGGTTCATCAGGATGCTACAGTTTGGTGTGTTGGAGCCTGGAATGATGCAGGCGGCTGGAGCATTGTGTTTTGTTGGGGTACGTTTCCTCTCCTTAGTTCTTTCTGCTCTAGCCAAGCCGAAGGCGTTTGCGTGCCAAAGTGCAGATTGCCTCAGTTTGCATCACAATTAAGGGGTACCGCCACAAACCGTAATCAAACAGTACTTACCAAATAGGTCATCACATTGGTCACGGTGCTGTATGTTTGACTGAGAAACTTTTGAACACAAGCGCATCGGTGTGAGTGCCTACAAACCATGTCCACCAGGGGATTCCCCATATTGATCCATCCGTGCTTATCATATTGCTGATCACTACGTAAGTCGTGCTTTGCTCGAACGCCGGAGAACCTGCCGGCAAGCTTTGTTCTAATATATCTCGTTTGGAATTGACACCCTCGGTCTGGTTCAAGACATGTGAACATCAAGGAACTCAAGCAAGCGCGGTTTGGTAATGATTCATCGATGCATTTGGTTGTTCTACAATGTTCTCCAACCCTTGCTTAAGTAACTGTTGATGGCTTGGACAAAGGCCTTTCTCGTCCCAGAGGGGTTCTATGGTTTAGAGACACTGCCAGCTTTTTATCCAAGCATTGGGGCCATTGGGATCCCAATACCTGTGCCACAAGTCGACCACTCAACCTATTTGGTAAAGAAGACACCGCAATAGTAAGCTTCAAAGAAGAAACAAATTCAAAGAAACTAGTAGTAACAAGTGCATCGCTAGTAGTAACAGGTGCCTTACTAGTAGTAACAAGAAGCTAGTAGGAACAAGTGCCACGCTAGTAGTAACAATGCGACTGGGCAAGGCTTGGCACCTTATGTGGCAGACCGCACTGCGTTGCTGCGCACGGTTCGGATGCCCAATGGGCGATGTTCAGGGGTGAGAGCCGAGAAACACGTGTTTCTAATAGCAAACATTGTTACTACTCGCGTGGCACTTGTTACTAATAGCATTCAATTGGTTTTGGTTTTATTCACCAGCTTAAGTTCACTGAGTTTTTGACATTTTGCATGTCACAATGCCCAGGGCTTTGAGTCTTTTGTGTCCGTTTTCCCACGTTCCTTGATGTCGATGTGTCCCCCAAGGACTGGCACCCTGCAAAGTATGCCTGGATGATGCGTCGCCAGACGCTTCAGGAGAGAACGAATCCACTTTTGTCAGACTCGAAGAAAGAGTTTGTCAGGTCACTGCGGATCAAAGGGTTGAAAGATGCTGAAAGCCTAAGCACAAAGCCTTAGCTTCTCACATAGTCATGCCAGGTGAAGACTGATGTCTCTGGGACTGCATGATGGTCTGTTTCACGCCCGAAAGGGGTTCTTGGGGAATCCGGAATTCTCAGAAGACCTCTCCATGGATTCTTTGTGTTCGCTTGAAGGTACAAGGTAACAAGAAGCTAGTAGTAACAAGTGCATCGCTACTATTAACCAGTGCATCGCTAGTAGTAGCTAATTTACTACTAGTAACAAGAAGCTAG